GTACATGCAACCTCCCACATTTTTCGTCCCATCAGCTTTTCCTTTCTTCTTTCCTTTCTTGAACTCTGCAATTGAGTTGCAGAATTCTTTCAAAACTAAGCTGCTCCAATCATAGTGTCCTAAACTATCCTTTGTCACCACCATGACTTTCAACACTTTATCACTCACCCATACACTAGAGCCAGGACACAAGAGGACTCCTAGTGCATACATAACAAAAAGGAATTCAAACTTTTCTTCCTCTTTTCCTTCAATCAACCATGTTCCTATTGTTTTGTATGGCACTTTCCCGTAGTCACTCCTTAATTTCTTGAACGTTTCATCTTCATTCTCCACATTTATTTTAATATCTTCCCCCTTAAATGGTAGACCCATCAATTCATTTACATCTTCGGGCCCCACTAAATGCGTCTTCCCTCGAATTGAAATTTGCCTACTTACAGGGTCAAACACACGGATCAATTCACCACAAAAATCTCTATAGATCTGTGAGCAGCATATGTCAACCAATTTATCAAAACCTATTCTTTTCAGTCTTTCCATCTTCTCTTTACTTTTCTTTAATTGCTTGCAGACTTCCATAAATTGTCCCGGAGCACAGCGTGTGTGAAAGGGAACAATATAATTCTTCCCTTTTGGTGGGACTCTCATTTCTTTAGCCCTTTCACCATATTGTTCTTTCTCCTCTTCTGTTAAGTTCCCCCAAGCCTTTTTCACAGAGTTAGTGCCCTCTTCAAAAGACTTAAACTTCTTCTTGTTCTGCTCATAAAACTCTTCAGTGAATAATATGTATCCGGAGAAATTCCTAGCCCTTTGTCCATCTTTACTCTTACTCTTTTTAGTCATTTTGTTCGACTGCAAAAAGGAAAAAAATTACTATCATCAACATATATTTTAAAATAGTAAGTATCTTCAACACCACCAAATTATTCACTAATCAACAAAATCAAAATATATCCCTTTGGATGACAGAAAGCAATGAACGGCAGTAAATAATATGGATCACAAATCAATCCACCAGAATGAATTTCCCTTCATTGGTTATAGTATAGAGCCAATAGGTGCTATATCCAACAAGCAATTCCCTTTCTGACCTTATGGCCAAATTAACATTCCACCATGGAGCCCACCATAAAAAGCCAAACAAAACCTTTATTATTTTATTGCCGAACAAATCAATTACATAAAGTTCTCCCTTTTAATTCAGCAATATTAACAATAACTGATTGCTGCATTTAAAAAGCTCTACCAAATCAAATTTTTGACAATTTTAACCAGTGTTCTTCAAACTGATCTCTAATATAACTTTGTACCAACCAGCCCCAACTTTTGCCCCTAACTTTTATTCGCATGTCAGATCATTGTAATATCCACATACATCACATTTCTAATATCACAGTGAAAATACAAGTCACGGTTATCACTGGTTCCATATATAAACACACGAAACAACCGAACATTCCAAACCACTTCAGGTCATCGAGCAGCTTTTACGAACAATCAACAATTCAAATGTTCAAACATTCCAAACCAAACATTTTTCAAAATATGACCAAGAAGCTTCAAATTGTCAAATATTCTAACCGAGAGAGACTAGTTGTCTGGAGATTGAGGCGTTAGTAGAGAGACCACCGGACTGTACCAGAGAGTTCACGGCGTCGGAGCAGACGGCAACTGAGTGCGGACCAGAGAGGGATGGAGTGCTGACCAGAGTCGGCCGGACCGTGCTGGAGATTGAAACCGTTCAATGCGTCGGAGAAGACGGCGACGGCGGGCGGACGAGAGACCGACGGACTGCGGACGACAGACTGACGGCGTGCAGACCCGAGACCGATGGACCGCGCAGGGGATTGAAGGCGTTGGACCAGAGAGTGACCGAATGCGGAGCACCGACCGACAATGTACCAACCAGAAACTAACAGACCTCGCCGGAGATTGAACCTGTCGGAGCACACAAGGATAAAGCACCAACGACACGGCGGCGGAGTGTGAGCGGGCGACGGAGTGTGAGCGCGCGGCCGATTTCCCGAAGATGAAAACCGAAACGATTTTGAGTGTGCTTCGGTTACTTTGTCTAATCAAAAAGGGCAAGAAAGTAATTGCAAGTTTCAAATTTTTTGCTATAAGGTCCCTTGGGACCTCATAGGAATTTGGGGATTTCATGGGACCTTCTGGTAGTAAATTGTCTTCTGTGGGACTCTACAGTAATTTTCCCATAAAATTATATCTAATAGAAAGATACATGTGCTTAGTCAAAAAATTATTGCATGATATGTCATCATAAGGAGTTCAGTGATTAGCTTCATCAGTATCACTGAATATATTTGTATTACCTATAGTTTAAACAAACTGACAAAAAAGGTTCATGTAAATTAGTGCCGAACTTAATGATGTATATGTGAGTTCTAATAAAGCGGTTCTAACAGCTTAAACACCAAACAATAATATATGTGAATGTAGATGATGCTTTTGAGTGACTCCTTGTATTTATAATCCAAGCCACTTTGAATTAGTTTGAAACTTAACATGACTTTTTTTTTTTTTTTTTTTTAAAAAAAAATGGTTTGCGGGTAAAAGAGTTGCCTTCAATTTGGGACCCAATCTAATTAATTGGAAATAGTTAAAGCCTAATGCAGCTTCGAATACTGAATGTCAAAGAAAAAAGGGTCAAAAGAAAAACCTAATTTGAATTTGAATTTGGTAGAGTTTAATATAACTTTGGATATCAAATATTGCCAAAGGAGGTTGAGGGAAGTCAATACTACTTTCGTTCCTTAATATAAGAGCTAGATAACTAATTTACAAGGATAAAATAATTAATTATATTAATTATTTGTAATAATTGATGTTGACTATCCTAAAACATCATTGTTAATTATGTGCGTTTGAATTGAAATTTAAACCCTTTAATATGTGCAATCATAATGGGGACTATTTTAAAAAAAAATGCATAAATATGGAAGAAAAAGGGATTGAAATCTTATATTTAGAACCAAATCGAATTTTCAACTAACTCTTATATTTAAAACCGAAAATACTATCTCCAATCCTTAATATAAGAGCTAGACAACTAATTTAAAAGGGATTAAGAAATTTAGTTAAGTTGGTTATTTATAATAAATGTGTGTTGATTTTCATAAATTATCCTTTTTTTTAGCAAAATAAATTATCCTATTTAATCATGTACATTAGAACTACCTATTGGTAGAAACCTCTTACTATCAATACGGATATTTTGAAAAAAATATTATAAATTCAGAAGATAAAGTCAATTGAGGTTTTATATTTAAAACCAAATCTAAATCTCAATTAGCTTTTATTTATAGAATCAGAGGTAGCAGCAATTCATAATAGCAAAACCTATGGGTGCATGAATAAGAAATCATTCTTAGGGGTTGGGTTAAAACTATTTGCTACATATTCTATTTACAATTTGTAAGAATTTAAAAGAAAAAAAATCTATTTGCTTTAGTTTTACTTTTGTTGGGATTGGTCAAATCCTCTTGTTTTGATAGAACATAAAGAAGTAATGGACAATGCATGAAGTGAAAAGTTTCGTTATTTTGGAAGCTAGTGGGTAAAGATAAGGTTCAATTTCAATTCATGGGACATAAGTCATGACTTGGTTGATGATGATCCTGTGTTGACGATTGATTGAGAGCATGATGACAAAAGGGTTTCATCTGTATATGAATGGGACCCACGTCTATGAGTAATCGATGATCCATCACCAATAATTGTACTTTTTTCTCCTTAAAAAAAAAAAAACCTTCTATCCCTACTTTTTGACCAAAAGTAGCTAGGTTTATTTACCCTAAAACAAAAATAGTGAGAGTTTCCTGAGAAAGTAGGGACAAGTTCCCCTCAATATATGTATCAATTACTAAAAGATGTGTTCTGAAGGAGAAAGGTGTAAAAAATCATGTTTTATTTTAGGAAAAATTACTCATAGATCCCAAGTAGAAAAAAATTAAATAAAAGATATTCAAGAAATTTAAGTCTTTTAAGAGTTTGACTTATAAATGATGTAAATCAATAGAAAAATGTTAAAGCTTGAAATTAGAGACATAAATTGTTAAATTTAACTTTTGAATATGATTTTTTTTTAAAGATATTTTAGTATTTGATTGTTTTACTTGGAATTTATGAGTAATTTTTCCTACATTTTTGGCAATTATATAGACTATTATTTAGAATTTATTATGAAATCACTAATGAATGTTTCCGTGAAGAAAAAAGGATCTCGTTTAAACAAAATTTTTTACCTATAATAAATAATAAGTTAAAAGATTTGTTGTCAGATAAATTTCTTTTTCTAATAAACTATGTCAAAGTTTTCAATTCTATTTGTAAAAAATGTTAAAACTTATAAAAGGTGCAGGATAATTTTTTTTTGGTTACATTAAACTCAAAGATAAGCGGAAATCGCGACTTGTAAATAATTTGAACTTTCAATCGTTTTTGTATTTTACATTTTCTTGATGGTAAGAGAATTTTATTAAAAAACTTAGGCTTAGGAGGCTCACCAGGATCAGTTATGCCTCAAAGTTCAGAGAATGCTTATGGAGTTATTTACAAATCACTCACCGGCAAAATTATCCTATCAGCAGCTAGAGATCATGAGTTATGAGTAAATTTCTTACTAAGTAGACAAGCTTTTGTCTGCTAAATTATTTTATATTTTCATTCATAGATATCTTTCTATTACAGGTAATCTTATTCGAGGCACTATCTTCTGCAGAAGATTTAAACTTTAGTTCACTATATTGTGAAGAATTAGTTCTTTTCACCATACTCAACCCTGTTGGTAAATTATTTTATATTTGATCCTATAATTATGATTGTTTACGCCCTTTTAAGTCAAATTGAGCCCAAATAAACTTGTCCTAGCCAATGACCCACCGGATTAAGTGGGCACTTTGCATGGTAAGTCCATATGTCAGGCAAGATGCAAGCCCATTTCAACTAGCCGCCTTGCCAAGTCGTTAATCGTTATGCTCTACGCCGTCTCCGGTCGTCCTAGGCGGCAACACTCAACAGGCTCGAACTCCAACAATGGCGCCTGTGAGAACCACAGGCGCTATTGTCGGCGTGGCTGCCATCTTTGTCTCAGTCGCTTTCTCCTATTTCATCTGCGAGCGTCGTTCTAAATCTTCCTCCATAAACACCCGTTCACCTTCGTCAAAGAAGAAATCGAGGAAGGGGCTTGTTGGTGCCATTGGTAACACGCCTTTAATTCGAATTAACAGCCTCTCCGACGCCACAGGTTGTGAAGTAAGCACTTTGGACCTCGCGATACATTCTTTTACCTTGATATATATGATTGATATGTCATCTGGGGATTCGTTAGTTTTTCCCTCCGAGACCCTTGAATTTGTCTTTGGCCTTTATTGTCGATTTGATTTTGAAATTGAACTTAAGATTTACTGGCTTTGTTTTGCGGCTGTTTTGGGGTTGTACAGATTCTTGGGAAGTGCGAGTTTTTGAACCCTGGAGGGAGTGTGAAAGATCGAGTTGCAGTGAAAATCATTGAAGAGGTAACTGTTTGTGAGTCATATATGTATCCTGCAAAGGGTACTGTTAAGTATTACTCTCAAGCACGGAGCAACTTTAAATTTTGCCCATTAATAACCTTTTAGAAGAAACGTGAACCAAATATGCATTAGAGCCCATAATTGATGGTTTTTTCCTTTCCTACTCTGTCTTTTCTAGGAGTGTTTTGTTTTCTTGGTTTTTGGGGTGATGGGGCCTCTGTCAATTCCCCCAGCTGTTGATGATCAGAAACTGCTAAATTTCTGCTAATTCTACGTTGGAGAAAAAGTCACTGGCAGTATGTCGATAATGATTTTTGGTTCCCCGGCGAATTATTAGAGCTTTGAATCTATTTATCCTTTTCCATTTAGTAACAACATCCCTCTAGTGTTCTTTGTAAAAACACTGCTCTCTCTCTCTCTCCCACTCTCTCTCACGCTTACGCACTAAAGCATATAATGTTATCAACAAGTAAATAATCACATCTCATATATTTGTCAAGCTCACAGTTGGACATTGTAAGTAAATGGAGATCTTGAAATGTATGCAAATTATTCTAGGGATCATTAATGCATGTTCGACTAAAATGATCAAGGATTTGCTGTTACTTGAGACCGATGCTTGTTTTTGTTTTTTTGTTTTTTGTTTTTTACCTTGAAAGTCTCAGTATTGGATCTTTTTTGTGGTTTATGTATGTCCCCTGGGATTACAAGCTTAATAACAGTGATACTCCTGTCTTATTAGTCATTATGAAATCATATTAGGTTGACTTAAATGATTTCGTAATTGATGAGCTTGATCGCATCTGAGTTAAACCAATAATACTTGATGTTCAGTGTAATGCATGGATGACTTTGGCAACTATGAGACAGACATGTATTATGTGAAAGCTGGTAGTATTTCTGTAAAATTTAATAATTAATAATTTAGAACTTTCAACCAGTATCTTGAAAATTCTCGTATCAATTCCTAATTTGGTCAGTGTAGACATGATGGAACCTGACCCACTCAAACATCGTGCTCGAGAATGTGCCTATTAATCCTGTCCTAATGAGAGGTATATTACAGTCTGCCTTAGATATTTGTACTCTGAATTTAGAATTTACTTGACTTGTTATGGGTAGAGAACTGATCGATCTGATTTCCCAAATCTTCTATTCTGTTTCTGTTACTTTTTACCATTGTTTCAGATAAAGGAATTGAAGCCTTTTTGCTTGTTCTCCTCGACAGTATAAGGAGTTAAAACTGTGATAAAACCATGTGTATATCATTAGAAATACATGGGAATCTAATTAGATAAACTATGAATTTACTTTCTCCTCTATAGGTGAGAACTCTTTTCAGAAGACAACTTATCTGAGGTCAACAGTTTACTCGTTGAATCTATAATTGATTTAAACTGTGTTCAGTGTTCAGTGTTTAACTAATTTGGTTTAAGTTTACTGTTTGGAATAATCATTGTTTGAGAAACTAATGTGTTTGTTTCATTTAAGATTAGTAAAGTGCAATATTAGTAATCAAACTTTTGTTTATATTTATTTATTTTGAGGCAGAGAACTCGTGTTTCTATTTTTTTTTTTTTTTTTAAGAGATGCAATCAATGTGAACATTGTTAGTTCTTTCATGTAATACTGTTTTTCACCATTATTTTCCAAATAACAAGATTCTATCATTTCTATAATCTGGCCGAAGGACTCATTTGTTTTGATTTTATTCTTATGATGGTTATTTCTCACAGGCTTTAGCATCTGGCCAGCTATGCCCAGGTGGAATAGTTACTGAAGGGAGTGTTGGAAGCACTGCCGTTAGCCTTGCCACTGTTGCACCTGCCTATGGATGCAAATGCCATGTAGTTATCCCAGATGATGTTGCTATTGAAAAGGTGTGTTAGAGATGCAATTAAATTTACCTTCAGCCTTCCGGTCCCCTTTATGCATTGTACGGTTAACAAAATAAGTGGAAAAAAATAGATTACCTGGAAAACATAATTGGTAAAAAGAGGGCATTTGCATGCAGATGCGACGTACACAACTGTTACATGTGCTAAAATGTGAAATGGTTGTGGTTCTGACTGAAATAGACTGTCATCTCTCCTCAGACTCCCTTCTCTCCCTCTTGTGCTGAAAGAGCTATTTCACTATAATGGGATCACCTTTCAGGCTCGGATAATTGAAGCGCTGGGAGCTACTGTTGAAAGAGTAAGACCAGTGTCAATCACTCACAAGGACCATTTTGTAAATGTGGCAAGAAGACGGGCAACAGAAGCAAATGAGTTTATGTTAGAACAAAGAAAACAATTACAATTGAATGGTGGAAACATCAAACTGGTTAATGGTTGCAGATCTGAAGGGGATAATCACGGTTCAGCTTTTTCTATGGATTGTCATGGCGGTTTTTTTGCTGATCAGTTTGAGAACTTGGCAAACTTCAGGGCCCACCTTGAGGGTACAGGACCTGAGATTTGGGAACAGACGAATGGAAAGTTGGATGCATTTGTTGCAGGAGCTGGCACTGGTGGCACTTTGGCTGGTGTCTCTAGGTTTCTTCAGGTCCATCATCAAGGTTCCTCTGACCTTCTGATATTACTTGTTATTCTGATTGTGAAAATTTCCTGAATGATTTCCATGTTTTTGTCAGGAAAAGAATCCAAACATCAAGTGCTTCCTCGTCGATCCTCCTGGTTCTGGTTTGTTCAATAAGGTAACAAGGGGGGTGATGTACACTAAAGTGGAAGCAGAAGGAAAAAGGCTCAAGAATCCATTTGATACCGTAACAGAAGGAATCGGATGTAACAGGATAACAAAAAATTTTATGATGGCCAAGGTTGATGGTGCTTTCCAAGGCACAGATATGGAGGCTGTTGAAATGTCTAGGTGATTCCTTATTCTTTTTAGAAGTATATTGTCGTGTGCTCCAAGTTTCAGTGTTTCTTCTCTTTTTAATATTTTAGGCACCAGCCTGAAAGGCTGATGAATTGAATAAAAATGTGGCCTTAAATCTTAATTTTCAGGTTTCTTTTGAAGAACGATGGACTATTTCTTGGGAGTTCTTCAGCAATGAATTGTGTTGGAGCAGTTAGAGTAGCCCAGTCGCTTGGCCCTGGTCATACAATTGTAACCATTCTCTGTGACAATGGAATGAGACATCTGAGTAGGTTCCACAATCCTCAATACCTGTCTCAGCTTGGCTTGACTCCTAAGGCAACTGGATTAGAGTTTCTGGGTATCAAATGAGGATGGCAGATTTAAAACTCATGCTCCAACCTACTGGACTGTTACCCTATTGCCTCCTACCTTGATCTTCCTAAATCGGGATTACATGCAGCTAAAGTGTGTTATAGAGATGGTGAGCGAAAGGGCTTCACTTTTGTGAGACCTGCAGGAAGGAACAGAAGTTGGACTCATTTCTCTCTTATTTTCTCTCTTCCTCTCATCACTTCAGTTGGATTATTGTGTGAGAAGATTTAGGCTTGATCTTTCTAGGCACCTGATGGGTAGGCCACCTAGAATTTGGAGCAGGTTTTATGTCAAGATTTGTTGCCACGTATGCCTTGGTACGTATTGTAAGTGGCACCCTATATCATGGAAAGCTGACCTGGACAAAGCTTGGGGAGATTTTGCTAGAAGGAAAATAGGCTTTTTGTGTAAAACTGTTATTCTTTTTTCACTAGACTAATTATTTATCAATTGCTCGAATGCGAGTGAACAGTTATGCATTCTGTGACCTTGGAATTTGGCCAATTCAAATTCTCTGGCAATAGGATGATGAATGGAATTTCAAGCCTTTTGCTTTGGAAATGTCAGGTTCAATTCTACTGTGAAAGTGAGAATTATTATGTTGAGACAGTGACTCCTGCTCCAAAGATGCATACCAGGCAAGAGACTTATGTCTCTGGCCTCACCACGTATTTTTCTGGTACGCTTTAGATTTCTGTAATGTGTGCCTTCTTTGATAAACATTGTTTTGCTTTAAGCATTTTTAGCAGTGGCTGTGAACACATGGAAGAAGGAATCATGGTTGTTTGCATGATATTTAACCAAGTCACTCCTAAGAAACCCACCCTCCCCTCCCCCTCCCCGTGGGGGAAGGGGGGAAAAGATTTCATTCAGGTTGCACTTGCTTTAGTCGTTTGAATCCATATGCTTAATTCTTTTTTGGTGAATATCTAGATTTTTATCCCTATCCCACTTTAATATCCCCTTGCTAATTGAGCTAATCTCTAATGATTCCTTTACTCCTTAATTCTAAGGGTGCTACTTTTCCAATTTTGTGTGGGTTGTTTTGTGTGTCGATCTTTTCTATATTGATCTAATCTTGTTGAAAGTTCCTGAAAGGACCTAATGCTGGTACTTCCTCATGGGGTGGAATTTTAAGTGAACCTGGCACCACGTTGTATATCTATTGCATAAAAGCATAATCTAATACAATATATTATGGCTTATTGCTTTTTTGGTGCATGTAATGTATGGTATGAGCTTATATATCATGTGCATTATACGTTAAAATGATGGATAATTCAATACATGGCCTATGGGGCCCGCATAAAGCCCGAATGCTTTTATTATATTACATCATATCCTATTTACAAGACCTCGTTTGTAGATTATAAATAAGATCTTACAATTAGGACCGGAAATAATATTATCCAAACTATTTTCTTGCACATTGTAACTATTATCATTGACCACCATTACCACATACCATTATTACCATTATGATCAACAAAGACTACCATCATCATTGCTGACTACCAATGTCATCAGCCATCTCTACGGCCATTATTGTTTAGCACCCATCATTGTCATTTGCCTTCCTCGTCATCTTCTCCTACACAAACACCACCGCCATTTTGACCTGCCACCAACTCTGCCTTCCATCATCAGCATCACTGGCTACTACCATCGTCGGTCACCTTTGCCACCATCACCGTTGGCGTCCATTGTCACCACCCCACCATTATCACTAACCGGCCATTATTGTCACCGACTACTATCATTACCACCTACTATTGTCACCAGTCATCACCATCATTATTGATTATTAAAATTTAAAAGTTTATTTCCTTAAAAATGAATATGGTAAAACTGTTTCACACAAATTTATTGAAATTACAATTAAAATGTATTTTTTTGAAAAAGAAGTATAGGATATTATCAATTTAAACAATACATTATGGTATACTGAGAAATACCAAGCACAGCATAATCTTAAAGATTCTATTAGACCTTATCGTATACAGTGTGCCAAGTTGGCCCTGCGTCTACAATGCAACATGCCCTGCCAAATTACTTAACCTTTCTTTTCCCTTAACTAGAAACAATCTAGCAACAGGGTTGAATTTAACGGAAGGAATTAGTTTCTTGTGACATGATAAATCAAGGCTTGAATCTCCACTAGAAGAGGTATATATTTAGTGCTTAATAATGTTTCGAATAGAATTGTCTCTAATAAAAAAAAATACATGTGCAGAGCAAAAGAAACTAAATCTAAATCTAAGAAAGATGAAAAGTTCATTTAAACGTTCGACATGTTTAACATGTTATAGATGCACCAGTAGTGTATCGAAAATAGGCTTCATTTAAACGTTTTTGGCACGTTTACGAGCATTACAAACTGATTGGGTCTTACATTAATTCACGTGACAGAAAATGTGAGAAATTATTCAAAGAAAAAAAAAAAAAAAACTTCGCTTCCTACGCGGTTGAAAAGGACAAATGACTATAGCAAAGTAACAAGGGCATAAATTACAATCAGATTTCAAAGAAGATCAAGGACCTAATGACATGAAATTTAAAAAAATTAGGTGCACAAATATGCCCTTGCTGGAGCTAATCACTGAAGACTTGTCAGTCATTGCCATTAGTCCCCAGTGAGATTTTCACTGGAAAAATTATTATAATGTTTTAGATAAAGAATATAATTATTAAAAAGTCCAAACAAGAAGTAAGTATTATTTCTCGCATCAGTTACCATTCACTTGTTATGGAATTTTTAGCAGCTAATTTCTTTCTTGGGACATATGGTGATTTTCCCATTTCCATTCACTTGTGTCTTCTTCTTTTTTTTTAAATAGCTTTTTGTCATTTGTAATTGTCATTTTCCCTTTTGGAAGGGAAACCTCCGCGGCCCTCATAGTATTGAAGTTTATTAGGACTTAGGACACATAAAAAAACTTAGAACATGTGGGTTCACTTGGATTTAGATAATATTAAGTTTAGTGGTCTATGTTATTCTACTTGAGATATTAATGGAGCAGGTCAAAAAGGTCATCGGTTAGACGTTTGCTCCACTATAACAAACTACTGGAGCACCACAAAAATCAAGAACTCTCTCCGCTACACCTTTCATCATCTTTTCTTTCACTTTTTTGTTTTGGTAATGAATGGTTTAGGTTTAATTATCTCCCTCTCTTTCTCTCTCCATTTTGAATGGTTGTTTAAAACTTATTTTAACTGATTGTAGCCTAATTTTGTGTTGCACATGCGAGGAAAACTTTACATTATAAAACGAAAAACAATTATTTTAATTAATATTCCCAACCCCAAACTTAAGCAGGTGTTTGGAACCTCTTAAAATATTTACTTTTATATTTTGCCACATAAAGCCCTTATTATATACTCCTTTAATACTAAATATAATATCTATTTTATAGTGTAAATTATTTTACAAAATATGTCATATATCTGGACTGGAGGAGTATTTATTTTGTACAATATTAAAATATTTTTTAAGCTAATCCAATATGGCACCTAGTTTAATTAGCAAGAAGAGAATCTATAGCCAAATGGAAAATACCAAGGAACAAAAAAGGAATCGGATCGACCAGTTCAGATCGGAAGCTAGTGAATCGGTCTGAAGTCCGATCTAGTTCATAGCTTAAATCGAGGGGTGAAAAACTGATCAAATCAGTGAAAACCGGCATGGACCGATTTGAATGATTATATTGCTGTTGGTTCTATTTTTCTTCATTCAACTCTTAATATCTCAGTCACTATATATCTAAATGAATTTTAACGATGATTTGGAAATCAATTATTACTAATTTTAATTATTGAAAAATCGTAAAGATGAACATTTTTAATGTTATTATACTTTGTTATTATTACAATCAAACTATTGTTGCATTTTTTTTTATATTTTGTTATTAGTGATTATCAATGTTATTGTATATTGTTATTTCTAATTAAATTATATTATTTTAATATAATCGTTTTGACCCCAACTTGGCCTCAGCCTGACCCACTAATCTATGAATTACTATCTCTATCAGTTTAATGTGTGGTTTGGCTTTTGTTGCTTGAAAAATGCAAGAAGAAGATATTGCTCTATTTCTCTACGTTAAAAGTTTTTTTTAGCACATGTATCTTTTTATTGAAAACAATTTTATTCAATAAACATTAAATATAAATGTCTTTTTTAGTATAAATTTAAATATTTGTTCATCACGTTATAAAAAACAGCCCTACTGCTAAAGCAATGGCCTTGATGATATCCAAACTTCTTAAAAGAATAAAAACTAACATCAAATCATGGGCCTCACTCGTGGGAGGCTCATATTGACTATTATGAGCCTCATATCACGTCCGACACAGGTTTACCTACTTGTTCTAGGTTTTCTCATTTTTCAAATTTTAAATTAATATTTTAATAATAGTAATGCTCCGGTGAAAGTTACACGTGGATTCATTCAACAGGATTAGGATTCTCTCACTGCATATATCTTTGCTCCCTCCTTTTTGTTCTTGTGCTCATCTAAAAGTCAAGCAATCTGCTTTAGTTTCCTTTTTCCCCCCAAAATGGAAGACTTTAACACACGGGTGTACATGGACAAGGGACCCGTTTGGTTCTATCATATTGCATGCGTGCAATAGTAATTCTTATTGCATTATCACAGATAATCTGTTTAGTTGGTGTTAATAATAGTAAAAAGATTGCACCGGTAAGCATGATTGCACATTTTTGGTAACAACTATATTAATAGGGGAACCCTATGAATATTCATTGCAGTCTTGTAATCCTTTATAAAATGTCAATTTTATCCTCAATAACTCAAGTGAAAAGACAATATTTACCCTCCAATTTCAAATCGTGCCATCATGATTAATCCACAAAATCCCTAACGCCATATGTCCTTTAATAAAATTGAACTAGTAATCTGGAAATGCAGCACATGAAAATCAAGCATCCTGAGCCTGTAACCATTACTGCAGTTCTGGTGCAATTTCAATTGTTTAAAGATTTGCGCACTGGATAGTACGATTTAATATGAGAAAGGAAAACCTCAAAACATTCACATTAGTTTATTCGACCAAATGCAGCTACTGAAAGCAACAGGCAAATAACATGTTAGAATGATTCCAACAAATGCAGGGAACACTCTACTTGAGAAGTTCGTTCATCATACTCGCTGTGCTCATACTCCGCCTGCGTGAGAGGAATGAATGAAGTTGATAGGGTTCTAGAGGGTAAAGTTCTCTTATTGTTATATATTAATTTTAACTAATTATTAGAAAATAACTCATGGCATGTTTTTTAAAAATATAACAAATACTGTACATGTAATCAATATTCCATTGCATTACATTACATTACAGAAGTGCAATAGAATTGAACCAAACGGGACCTAGGTTAATCTTCAACCCAATATCTAGTTTAGGTAAGACCTTGAGTTGAACAAAATAGTTTGTGGTCCAATCTAACCTGAGACCAAGCTAGATTAGATTTGGTCTATCGAGCTGCATGGACTAGTCCAAGTTATCCCAGATCTCAATTTTTTTCTATTTGAGAGGCAAGACAAGAT